TGCATAAACTAAACTTAGATTCTTCTGCAACTTCTTCCACATTCAAACACAGATTGGTAAGTAGCTTGGAGCCCAGTGCCTTGCAGACAGACACTGTGACATAAGCTGGGGGCTGGAGGACAGCAGGCCTTCACTGCATCTTACAGCATCTGATACAGAGCAAAACCGATCAGACATCAGACCTGAAGCTGGGGCAGTTAAAACTACAGTGATATCAAAGCTTATCCACAAGCTAGAATGGCCTAGCCAAAGTTCAAACCCAAATGAGTCTTTGGGAACATCAAATTTCAAGTTTTACCAGACACACTGAGGACATCAAACTGACTGATGATCCAATAAAAGAGAACAAAATTCTGTCTCTAGATATGAAAGCAGGTAGACATTTACTCCAAAAGACTTGCTTTCAAGTCGTCTGTGTTTAGCCTTCCAGTAGCTTGTAGCACACATGCTACATTTTTAAAATGTTCAGAGAAATGTTGTGTGCCACACAAACCGTTTCTTCAGATTTACAGTTATGCAGTGTAATTCTAAAATCCTAAATAAAACACATACACTTTTTGGGGGTCTAAGAGAAATTTTTTTTTTTTGATCAAGCCATATGGAAAAACACCTGAAAAAGACTTTCCTGTAGTTGGAACCGATTTCTTGTAGCTCTTTTCCTGCTCTGAGGGGAGGAGCTGCTGCTGTGGCACACTGAGGTCAGAGGTTTAACAGTCCTGGAGCTCTCACAGGAACCACACAGGAAGAACGGGAAAAAACTGTGTACATATATATGACACAGCAGCACTTTAGTTTGGTTTGCAACCAGACTTCAGAGGGTGGTGTGACCGACCTCGTTTCCATGTCTTCCTCAACTGTAAATATTTTAGATGTTGGAGCGTCTCGGTCTCAGTGAAAGCAGCAGAAAACTCCTGATTCACTAAATAATCAAATAAAGGAAAGAAAAACAGTACTTCATATGAAGAATGCTTCATCACACCAAATCCTACAGAAGTGTACAAAGTGTACATATATCAGCTAAATAGTCTTACTTCCACAGATGTTAAATTATCCCTCTTACTTTCCATTTTCATAATTAACTGTATTTTTGCACATTTCATTGCAACTCTGTGTAATGCATGTTGAGCAGAAATAAATGTATACCAACATCATGGACAGCAAAGTGGCAGCAAAGTGGGTTCAGTCAGGGGCCAGTTGGGCAGGGCGGGGGTTGCAGATCACAGGACCAGACTGTACAGGGTGAGTGTGATGGAGGGCACTGGCTCCAGAATAGGCCTGGGCATTGTGGCCTGGCTGGCCAGGCAGAGTAAGCAGACTGGCGGGGGGTAAACACTGCCCTGTCTGGCCTGGCAATCGTGCCGGTGCCAATTGCAGAGCACCCAGCTGTGTTTGGGCCCGGGGGTGAGGGATTGTCAAGATGCAACAATGGACTTTCCCTTCTCTAATTATAGTTCTGGCTGGATAAACAAAGAGGAAACCGAGTGGTCTAGAAGTTGGGGAGGCTGGATGGAGGCCAATAGGTCACAGGGCAAGATTCCTGCCATCCTGACCGAAGTGTCTCTTAGTAAAACTTCAAAAGAGAAGGTCTAAAATGGCCAGCTCATTAGCAGCCTGCTTTGATTGAGTCCACCGAGTAGAAGGTGAGGGTCTTTCATCTTCGGGGTGACCTTGTGATTCTGTTTGACACACCAAGTACTCCACTATAAACTAATCGGAGCTCTAACCTGCACATAGTTTTTTTAAAGTCGTTTCTGGTGATAATGGCTTTTCTTTTCTATTTTTTGTGATGATCTGAGCTTCATCACTAAACCAGTTCTCTAAATGAATTAAAGATTTTGTGAATGTGGGACAGGATAGTGGATGAACATGGAGGAATGTTCCCTCCTACTCTTAATTTAATTGTGTCGCACACTGGAAGGAATAACTCGTTTGTGAGATATGTGAAGTTTCATATCTTTTTCTTTAGGATAGAAATGCACCACAAACCCATGTGCAAAGTGCAAAAGCAAAGCAGGCCAACCTTGGGCTTCCCATCTCGTAAGATGGAACGAAAGAAAAAACACAGCTAACCCATTTGGACTATTTATAAGTTATGTTCATGGGATAATAAAACCATCTGTCAGTTTTGATTGTGTCTTTCTGTGTTCGTTGTCTGAATGGTTAATAAAGGACTGTTTTCATGTCTGGTTCCATCTCAACTTTACACAAACAGATGTGAACATGCAGTGAATAAATGGACTTTCAATCAGCTTTTTGCACCAAACAGTTAAGACCATTGAAGCACATTTTCACTGAGGCTCACATATATATTTGAAATATTAAATTAAGATTTATGACTGCATACAAAATGTATTTGCTAATTCTTTGTCAAGAAACGCAAAACTTATTGCCAGGTAATGCAAAAAAACCTTTCAGATTTTTATTTGTAAAGAAAAAAAAATCTGCTCCATCAAATGAGTGTTATTTGTGGATTTAATGTGACAAAATGTGAAAAATATTTAGGGGTATACCACTGCAAGGCCACTATAAACACCATTTCACTTTGAAGAGACTTCTGGAGAAACGGAAAACTTCAGGTGTATTTGTTAGCTTATCCCTTTTTGTTTTTCCAAATTAAAACCTCTAATTAACTTATCCTTGATCTTTTATAGTTAATCCTCATCTTTATTTTGTTTCTTGCTTTCCGTTGCTAGGAGAATGCAAACGAAATCTCTTACCACACCCATCCCCCAGATTCCCTCCTCCCCTTCCTCCGTACTGTCCTCGGACCCCTCTGGAGTCTCGGAGCAATATTTTATCATGCTCTAATTAAATGTTTTGCTTAATGGAATGTACCAACATTTCCCCTGAGAATGACTGCGAGGTGGGAATGACTGCAGCCTCATTTATCCTGTGCTTTCCCACTGACAGAAAGGGAGCAGCCATTCATGATTTAAGGAGCCCTTATGCCGTCTAGACATGCTAATGCACTTTCCTGCTACCGAGATTATGCTGAGACCCAGAAACGGAGCAGAATTCCCTCTCAGCTGTAACAGAGAAATTCTCGCTGGAAAACTGCCTTTGTTAAGGTGATGGTGATATTCAAGGAGCCATCAGAACAAACAAAACAAAAAAGCTGAGTTAGCTTCAACTTCAGCGCTAGGAATTGTGATTCCAGCAGCATTTCTGCTAAATAGTCAGAAGTTTAGAGCCTATTTGCCATTACATACTCGTAAACAGGTCATCTCATATTTAAATGTTGTAAAATACCCGAATCTGTAAGTATTTGAATTCATCCGATCCTGGTCAGTAATTTGTAAAACCGTCTTTTGCTACAAATACAACCGGAAGTCCTTTGGAGTTTGTCTCTTTTACCTTTGCAGATCTAAAGTTTGAAATTCTGCTTTGTTAAATAACTGAAGGTCAGATAATATACTTTGATCTAAAGCATCCTTTAAGGGAGGTCTTTCCTCAGATTTGCCTTCAGCATTGCCCTGTATCCAGCTGAAGCATGCCCACAGCATGATTCTGCCACAACTGTGTTTCGCTGTGGATATATGGCATTCATGGTGACGGCCATCTGCAGTCATAAAAAGTTTATGTTTGATGTTATCAGTTTGTTTAGCATCCAACAATTCTTGAGATATTGTTTTCTATTTTAAGAAGACACAGACCACAGCTGTTGCTTTGTTCTGTGTGGCGACTTGGTTAGTGGATTTTATTCTGCGATTCAGATCAGAAAGAGTCTGTTCTTTACCTTTCCCAGGACCGTGAGGCAGCTGGGGTCCAGCTCTGGTTGCTCCAGCTTCACAACACCAACCCAGCCGTACTCATAAAGGTCCTCCTCGTCATTGTTGTTGCATAGTCCCAAAGGATGCATCTGAAAAAGACAAACGAAATGAGTAAGAAGTGCAACTTCCTTTGAATCCTATGTAGCCAGCTGCATTCTCTCGTTTTGTAACCTTTTGTTTAAAAAATCTAATAACTGCCTTTCAAGTCTGGGGGTCTTTTCCATCACACTTCAATAAAACTGTTGTTCTGAAGTAAAGCACTAGCTTATAGCTGCACAGTTCTCCCTTGGATACTTGAATATGTTGAGAGAATATGCTAATTTATAATCATAATTGACTGTTTTCCTAATGAAACAGAAGACCTTAAAAGCATTTCACATCTCTGCAACCAATTACCGGTTTTAAAAGGTACACCAGGGTTTTCTACTGTAGCCAATAAGCTAAACAGGTTTTATTCACCTTCAATTATTTGCAGAGGATGCAGATTTTTGCTGAAATTTTCAATGTTTGTCTACATTACTGCTAGAAAGATTAATGTTGCCGTCATTTCCATTGAACCAGTGCATACGTGCAAAGACAGTAAAGATTACTCTGTATATCATTATGCTGTAAATAGTACGGAGATGTCTTATAGCACACCGAATGCAGAGCATCAAACTTTCCTCAGATGTCTCATTACGTTTTCGGCTGCTGAATTGGCCCACTTCTCAGCCAGAAAGCTCTTTAGAGCCAGCACCAACACGGAGCCTAAGCAGCAGATTAAAGGTAAGAGGGAGGCAGACATCACAAACACCGACTGCTGCAGAGCGGCCTAGAACAGGAATGTAGGTGGCCTCTAGAATTTCAAACACACAAAGGCATTCACTACGAGGCTCTTTATCACTTGTTCAACAATAAAAAGACGCTGATATAGGTTAAAACATAATAATAACATAAAACTTTTTCACATTTTAGAAACAGAAAACAGCTGGTCTCCCTTCCAGGAAATAAGTCAAAACTGAACGCACTGTCTGAATTACCTGCAGTAATAAGTAGGTCAATAATGTAGACAGACAGCGACTGAATGGTAATTTTCATATTATTAGGAATTTAAAATTGTAACATAGTGGCTTAAATAAATGCTTTAAGGGCACCTTCACAAAAAAAGGTAATTACTTACAGTTTTAATTTAAGAGCTACAGTCAGCATGTCAGAGAGGAATAATATACAAGTAGGCAGAAGATAAATTGTTAAAGCTAATGGCATAATGAAACATTTTATTTCCCTTAAATTTCTTAAATTTTCAAATTTCTGAAATTCTTGCAAAGCCCATCATCTGACAGAAAAAAGAAAATCATTTACAAAATCACTGAATTAAAAAAAGTAAACAAAGAACAAGAAGATGAGCAAGAAATTCAAGAAGAACAGAGGTCAACTGTGGCTGACAGCCGCTCACGAGGATGAAATGATGATGAGTTTAAACATGCCTGGATTAAAACTGTAACCAAGCGGAGTCCCTAAATCCTTGAATGCTTTACCCGACCTGGCAACAGTGCAAAGACAGGCTCAAGCATTAGCATTAGAACTGGGCCAAGCTGACCCGCAGGCTACTTATCCTATTAACCCAGAGACCACGGCTCTCCAATCAGGGAGCTCCCAACTACTCTGGCCCCTGGGCCACTGCCGATGACCCAAGATACCCTTCTCTTGCATGTGACCCCTGACCTTTAAGCCCCACTTTACTGCGCTTGGAGCAGGTTAGCTGTGCAGTAGCCCAAATGGAAAGAAAGAGGCTAAAAACAAGGCTAAGGGGGTCACACGCCTGACCTGAAGTGTTTTTGGGGAGGGTTAAATGCAAATGAGATGGTCAACTGGTGAGTCATGAAGAAGCAGCTTCTCATTAAGGATGAAACCCAATACAGAGATCTGACAGAAGACTGAAAATACAAGACAAAACGGAGGAAATACAAGTCTGATGTGTTTTCTTTTGGATTTCTAAAATGGACCTAGCAAGAATAATAAAAAACAAAAAGTCCTCTTTGAATCCTCTTCCTCCTCCTCAGCCCTCCCACACAGACTAGATGGACTATGATGAAACATTAAAGAATGAGCTCAGATGTTCAGTTGCAAACCTTTGAGACAAACGGATCCGTCTTTCAACAGCACAAAGGAAAACATGAAAGATTTTTAAAAATTCAGGCTAAGCTTGCAAAAAAACAGAAAAACCTTTCCACAACTCCACAGGATGCAGCCTTACATAGATTTACCGATCATTTCTTAAAGCTGCTTTAATGTTATGGGAAGAAACACAATTTTGACACATATTTCCAGAGTTCTTACATGGACGCTGAAAGTCAACGACTTGATGAAATCTACTGAATGTCCTGAACTAGAAAATCTTTTCATCAACTTAAATAATAGTGACCTTCATGTCACTGTTTGATAATAAGGATCAAGTTAGAACATATATAATCTGTTTTATTGGGTTGAATTGATTGTTTTTGGTAAAGTGCTGTGAATTGTAAATGCAAAACCTGATGGATGATAGTTGAACTAATTGTCCATCTGTTTGTCATCCTCCATTCGCCAGACAGATGCATTTTCTCCATATATTACTATTTTTTCTTTTTACACTTTTCCCAGCATAGAAACTGAGCTATTCTGCTGCAAAACTAAAAACACAACATGCAGGTTTGTTGGAATATTTTCTAAAGATGCTCTGGAAGGAGTGTCAAACCTGAAGAAGTAAATTCATTCAGATTTTTTTTTAAATTTTTTACACAAAGCATTTCTCTTCGCCTCTGCTTACCAGTGTCTCTGTTTAAGCGGGGACCAGGAAGCAGAGCGCTGTTTGGCTGTGTGATTGTGACCTCGCTCTCCTGCTTGGCTAACAGTTTGGTTGGCAGCGGGGAGCCCCGCCTGCACCCCTGGGCCCTGAACACTAGGCCATTGTGCAAGGGGCTCTTGCACTCCAAATGGGACAGTGTTGTTGTTGTGGACCATGTTGTTATTTTAGAGGCTGGCCATTGCGCCATTATCTCTGACCGCGCGGGGATTTTTCCTTTTTCTCAGATGTTGACGTAGGCGTCGATGGATGTGGGGATGGGAAGGAGCTCGGTTTGGAGGAGAGAATGACGAGGAGTTGAAGTGGGTCATGCCTTCAAAAGATACACCAACGCATTTGTGAACCTGAACTCTGGACCGGCAAGTCAAACTCTACCATTCCGGTCAGAAAACGTTGCTTTTCCTCTCAGCACCCAGGGTTGATGGGTGAGGGTGTCTGGCGCCCCCTTAGTGCCACGAGGAGGCAGATCTGTTCCTGCCCCCGTCTGTCCGGCCTCTGGGGGAAACTGCCTTTCACATGAATATCCTGTTACACAGACCACACTCTCAATGAATCCCTGGCAGGGATTTAACCTCCACCTGTCAGCTAAGTTCACCACTCCCCTCCAACCATCCACCTGTGGTAAAAGTACTTGTGATACTTCTGTGCAATAGTCTTAAACCACCGTTTTGCTTCCAAGGAGCCAGACTTTTGCAGTGTTTCAAGGTATTCTTCCCCAGGATTTCCTGGCCTACTTTGGCTTCTTAAAAGCCCAATTTAAAAATCATTTGATATTTACAATAAAGGTCCATCGCTACCATCTAAAGCTGTTCTTTGATTGCGACATTTCTATCAACATTTGATCAGCAGCCACTTCTACCTTTTCTCCCTCATCTCCCAAATCATTCGCCCCCCTCATATATTTCCAAACCAGCCAACCTTTGCTGCTCTCACCACAATGTGTGCAGAAACTCTAATAATCTCCATTTGTTGTGCAGTTTCTTCTTTGAACATCTTTATGAGTACATGAATATCCCTAGGACCAATAAAACTTTTCTTTCTGAAACAAAGCAGATACTTCAAAAAGATTACGGCCCCATTTTGCTTCCAGCAGATGCAGCCAGGAAAACCCGTGGAGAACATGAACGTACAAATTTGCTGAATTGCATGCCTATTTAAGGCCAAACACTGGGAAAAACATGAGCGATGGTTTTGCATTTTTCGGCAGCTCATCTTCGTTTCAGCAAAGCAAGACCTTAAAATGGAACATCAAAGGGAAGCCAGGGAAAGAAACGAGTGGATCTAGTAGAGATGCTTGTAAAGCTTAGTGAGATAGCTTGTATAAATTTTCTAACATTTCAGCCAGATACACAAAGCAGAGGCTATTGTAACAATAAAAGCTGCGTTGTTTTCTAAAGACAATTTATGCATGATCATCTTTGTAAAGTTTCTACAAATAATTAGCATTGGGGAACTCTTGCTCGTTTGCATCCTTTCTACGTTTTGGGAGAGTTGCTGGCACCCATTTCACATGCACACACCATCTAGAAGAAGAAAAACCTGGGCAAGCAGCCATGGCTCACACCCACCTGTTTCCCCGGTGCCATGCATGTGTTTACACATCTCTCTGTTTGAGCACAGGCATGTGTAAGAGGTTAGCGTGTTCAGCCTGAAATGCATCATGGCTGACCGAGGGGTAACCCGGTGGCATTTTTCCCTGACCGTCCTCTCGCCCTGAACTCAGTCACCCTCAGCCCCTTTTCCAGTCCTTCTCCAGTGCTGCTCCCCAGCCCTGCGCCACAACAGCCTCTGAGCCATCATTGGGGGAGTTTTGTACACTTCCTGGAATAAAACCAGTGCTGTCAAACTGTCGCTGTGTGCTCATTATTAGAGCCTCAATCCCTCATCCTTACACTAAGAGTCATGTTAAAAGGAAGTAAAGGTAAAGTGGGAGTTGATTTGGCTGCTAAGGACAAAGAAAGAAAAATTCAACTTGTCCTGCTGTTTAAAGGAATGAAAAAAAACTGAATGTTCAGGTATGAATGCGGGCCTGGTTCGCTGGAAATTCAACAAGGGAAATTCAACAGATTCTGAGATGCAACTGATTAGAAGACGCAACACTTCCCTAAAGTCTCTTAAAACATCATTGTATGCCATCAATATTTTCTTTTTAAAAACCACCTTCAACCATTTGGTACTTTCCTTTATTGTCTTGGAGGTTTTTCCCCACCAATTTTTTGTCCATTCTTTGTGCATTGGCACAACTTACTGAGCAGTGAGTGGAGAAAAACATTAGGAAATCCAAGGTATAGC